TACGAAAAGTAATTGTCTTGGGGAGTTCCTGGCAACTTTTAGGCTTCAGCGCTGAAAGGCCGGCGGAGGATCCGGCTGCGATGAGAAGTTTTCCCATAGTGCTGTCTCCCTCATGTTGCTCCGGTAAGATAGGTTCGTATACGGTAAGCTTTTTTCTCCGAATGGGCTATGCTTTTTCCCTAGTAGAAGCAAGGGATGAGAAATGCATAAAACAAAGCAAAGCTTGCAAAAAGTCGGCAAATCGCTTGGGGATTAATAAGGGTTCAATCCTCGTTGTAGTGTACTTATCTTTTTGTTTCTGTTGAAGATTTCAGGTGTTGTAGCTATTTGTTTTAGTTGCCAAGTTGTTGTCTTTACATTTTAAATCCCTTCGTCAATAAAATAATACAAGCAAAGGTGTAGTTTAATCCTTCTCTAAGCACTTAATAATTGAATCAAATTTTTCAAATCATTGTTGGACTGCGTCATGGTAAACTTTACGACCGATGTCCTGAATATCAGACCGATTCGTCTATCAAATGCGTGGAAATTCTCCGGTAAGGCTCGTGGTAGTGCTGAATGCGTCTAATGCACTATGATCAAAAATTATTTCCCAGATCCTTGAGTTATTCAGGATTCCGAATAACTGCAAATTTGTTCCCCTTAAAAGGCCTCTAAGTTTGGTTGAAAAAGGTTTATTGAGAAAAGTTGAAGCTCGGAAACGGTTCTGTCCATACAATTCTAGCCGTCACTGAATATGGGATTTTCTAAGATTACAGACTTTTTGCCATTATAAGCTTACAATTGGTACAAAATTTATCCCTGGAACAATGCCGTATAGTCTCATTCGGCTGTTTTGCTTCCCTCGTTGAACATGGTGCTGTTGATTTTGAGTGATGGAGGATGTTTGTTGAGTTTTTCATCACGTTGAGTGCACTTGCAATGGCGGCTCCTCTACTCATCTCTCTGGCAGACGTTCAACTCAATTGACCCGTGCTAATTCGAAATGACCTGCCAGATAGTGATGATGTCAATCATCAAGGTGTGCTGCGCGTTCCGCGTAATGAGTGTTTGCGTGACCCATACAGGGCTTCTTCGCGCAAATCCAAGCCCGTGATGGGCAGGTAGCACGTGATGGGGAGAGAGCCACGAGGCGAGGGCAATCACTTTTCCGGATTAGACGCAAACAGCTGTTAGGGTGGGGATGTGAGCGTTGTAGAGTCGCTATGAATAATAGCCGTGTCTGGTCCGATCTCTGCCTTTGTTAAATGACCGTGATTGATCAGACTAGCTCGTTTTCTGTTTTTTCACCTTTAGATTTTGTTTTCCTTTTTCACTCGTTGGTTGTTCTGTGGCATTGGAGCCGACTAAACTTCCTTCCAATTTAAGTTACGTTACTGACCAGTTTGTACGACTGATGATGGATCTGAAGCGTATTGGTTCTTTAGCGTGGGAGTTCTACAAAAGTTCTCCACATTGTATATTAGCCTTTGCTCTCTAGCGCCTTGGCAACCTCTCATTTTCTGCCCAGCAGCAAATAGGAGAGATTGCTCAGCACTGACCGCTTCACTGGAATGCGCCATGCCTCCAATTTGCAAGCAAATTTCACCTACAGTGCAAGTTAGGGTGGATAGTGTTCTATTTTCCCGCCTTCCATTTTTTGATAGATAACCCGGAGGATTTTCTCTTGGCACCAATCCACATTTGCTGTCGAAATGCAGCCATGCAGCTTTCGGTCTTATTCGCATTTATATCTTCTAAAAGTTTGTTGTATGGCCTCACTTAGAAATGAACATTGCTTGTATCTGTTAGTTTTTTATCCGCCAATACGTTTCGCATATAGGGATGACTTTGCATATAAGGTGCGTATCATGTCATAGATCTAATCGGAAAGGCTCATTAATGCAGTCGATGTTAGATACAACGTATAACCCTATGACCAAGGGTCGGCATGAGGTTGATTGAACGGCACCTCTAGCCGCATGCTGTGGAGATGAAATTGACTTGAATCCACCGATGTGTCCACTAACGACATGCTTACATAGTTGCTGTGACTCGAGAGTATTAAGGGATTCGTACCGACAACATGAACAAACATATTTATTGACGGCGAGATTAGAATAGTAGTAGAGTGGGAGATTATGCTGACAAGGTTAGACACTTATCGATTGAATTCGCCGGAGAGTGGTAGATTGCGATGTTACGATAGTAGGGTAGTAGTAGAGGAGATTAGGATAGTAGTCTCAACCTAGTGGCTTACAACATAGATAGTATCGACTAAACACACCACACTGACCCCCCCCTATTCGCTTGAAGTGTCCCAAAGCTCATACTGTCTCACGATTCAATCAATAACGCATGCCACATTTTTGAGTCCGCCGAATCTCCATACACATCTAATTACTATACTATATCTCCTACTCGCCCATACACTACCTAATCTCCCGCGCGCACTATTACGCCTAAGGTCTCTGGTCTGAATCCGGTATCTACTCTAAGTCACTTGCCTGAATCCTTGTCGCTGAACTTGATGCTATCACCTAGATATGAATCGATGCCGCTAGCAATCACCTAATTCCTGTTGCCAGAACATGAATAATGGCTTTATTCTATGAATTGACTGAATTAATTATTTCGCAGATTAGGACGAAAAGTTGACACAGAAAATGTTACGTAAGGCGATGTCACTTGCAAGTGTGAATTGTTTGCCTCTTTGGAAAATATAATATAATTTTTCAACTTGTATTGGTACACCCTCCTCTCACAGAAAACTCTTAATCTAGGCTCTCTCGAATCATCGCCCCAATAACCCTGTATGAATTTCCTTTCAAGTGACAGTCTCAAGATCGCTGTCGATCGAGGGATTAGGAGAAAACTGAATCGACTAATAAGTAGAAGCTCGATCGGCTCAAGTTTACCATCACTAAGGTCTGTTTTGGTGGTGTTTCATTTCGTACTGCGATCAGATTCCTGTGGAATTTTTCGATTTTCCGTACAGTTGTGCTTATTGAATTTGCTCGCGTTCAGTTCGTTGCATTCGTCATCGTCACTGAATACGATGCCGTCGGCAAAAGTCGCTGATGGTTCGTACTCACATCGTCCGTCACTGAAGAATGGATTGAAGCGTAAGCTTTTATTGACAGCTTTTGTTTTTCTGACTAGTGCATGTTGTCAGCGAAGGGCTTTTTCTATCACACAATGTCGTTTAGTTGCAGAGAAGACCAGCGAAGACCGTCAACGAGATATCGAGTTGTATAAAATTCTTCGTGGCAAGAAAGCCGAACTCGAGGAGCTGTTGAAAGCACGCATCAATGAGTTACGCTCGGTCTGCATGAAGGAAGGGGTGAGTCACTGATTGGTTTAGGAGCACTAGTCATAGATAACTTTGTTATCTTCCTTTTTTGCTTTCCAAGTCTGTGTGCGGTGTAAGACCTAGTGAATATGCTTTTCGAAATGCTCTAGGATTAACTTTGTAAATGATCAATAAGGGTTCTGCGGCAGCTTACCCGGAACTTATGATGTGACTGGGCATGTTTTTCTGCAGCAGACAAAGAAAGTCAAGCACATTTTGATTTACAGCTTTTGTGTGGGTTGTGAGATAAGCACTAGTTCACTTTTCCGTTACCCTGATCTAACGAGAAGATGGGTGGGGCTCTTGATAAGGGTGGTCTTACAAGTTGAGCGATAAATTTGTGAGTTTTTCATCACTGGGTGTGGGTCATTCCACACAGATGATTCGAACATTCGGCTCATGTCTTTGGGGAAGGGACATTCAATGGGGCCGATGGTAGGTGAGACTAGGACTCGCTCAGTAAAGGGGAGAAACGCCAGGGAGAGAAAACAAACCGTTCACATGCTCCCCCAGGACCCTTACCCGTCCCTAGCTTGGCCTCAAACGCAGTAATTGGCGTTCTTACTTGGATGTCCCCGCGCCTCCCCTAAGGACATGAGCGCCCGACATTTCGTAAAAAGATGACATTTAAAACGCGTTTCCTTCATCACTCTGCGCTAGAGCTTGCTTTCCACTGAAAATCTTCCAGGTTATGTCGCATGCAAGCGGGAATTTCGCACGAAATCAATGTGCTCGTAAAGCGCGGTAACGTGTATATGGAAAGATATTGAAAGTAGAGTTTCCAAGGCATCGCTCCAAGAATCATGGTGGTTTTGCCCCAGCGATTCGAATGTATTGGCTCGAGATTCCGAAGATTGCCGGAATTATTGTGGCAAGATCGGGCCGAATAAAGAAAAAAGCCGCGAGTACGTTCGCAAATGCTAAGTTAGAGTGGCTTTCTTCCTACATCGTTTCCTGCCCAAAACAATGAGAGACCTGAGCGCGAGAGGAGAGTGTGAGACGAGAGAGCGAAGCAGATGAGAGGGCGTCAGACAACAGAATGATAAAGAAAGAAAAATTGCAGCTGCAGCAGCTCACTTTGCAAGGCCCTAGCGCTTTGTCGGTGATTTCCCGTAATAACTTCGTATAGATCTTCTAGGGTCTATCATACAGGACGAAGAGAATCGTTAACGACCGACTTCCGTCCCCCCCTTTTTAGTTGAGCTTTGCCATGGTGCGTAAGTGATGACGCAAATAAGAAACTCGAAACTCAAGAACGACGACTCTCGCATCATCGTTCCGTTGAATTTTGGACAGTTTACGCACTAGGATAGCCAATTGACGGGCCTCGACCAGAAAATAATATGCAGATACAGGGAAACAGTTGGTAGTGATAACACATCTTCTCAAAACAGGGGGATACTCATAAATGAATCCCGGGTCAACAGGTCTCGCTTAGAAGTGGGCTGATATAGGTTTAGGGTCCTTGAACCGTTGTCATTAGTACTTTGTTACGCCTAAGAATTCTACGCATTGTTTCTTTTGCCGCCTGGTTCAAGGGTTCCTGTAACGCGCATGCATCCCTAGTGATACCAAAATCATCGTGCTCACTGCCAAAAGGCCAAGCTGAAAATTCATGGATTTTTTTTGTGAACTATTTGCCGTGATTTGTAGGAGTTTGACGGGAGAGATGCCTCAGGAAATCAGCGCAACTTTGAGGCCAAGTGAAGAGATGCCGAAGCTGAAGAAGCGTGTTGGCACTTCGTTCTCGATTGCCAGAAGACATTTCTGCAAGAGCCGACAAGGTGAGTGTGTTTCTTCTTTACTAATGCAAGTATTCCAAGTTTATACGAAAATAGAGTATGGGGCCGGTGATTGCGGGAGAAGCCTTTCTCATCTTCCTTGTATGTTCCAAGCGTTCGACTGAATACTAGGTGCTGATAGAGAGCCATGAGAACGGCAGTAATGTTCCCGCCCATTATGTTAGTTTTATCTGAAATGTTTTGAGCATAAACGAACGATATCCGTGCAGTGAAATAGTTTATCTCTTACGGGCAATGATAGCTGCAACTATAATTTGGAGATTGATGGTGGCAAAGACAGCAGATACGGTCAGATCGATGAGGGTGCTTATGTAGACGTCGTGGAACCATGACAATGATCATAACACCGATGATGTAGGCACTGCCGACAGAAACCGCTAGGAAATTTATGCGGTTGTCTGCAAAACGGGGACCGATCACCTAAAATATCAGCTTTCATCTTTCCTTATCACCGGGTACCCTCCGAATTGGCTTTGAAATGCTTTCTCATGGCAAATCTGAGAGAAGAACAGAAATGTGCAGGCGAACCTGGACGGTTATGCTAACTAGTCCTGGTAAAAAGTATGAAGGAGGTCTTCTATCCGTAATTATATAGTGCTGATTCATAACGCTACCAAGCACTCCGAGAAATAAAGCGACAAAAATTAATGTGATTCTTCTTTCATAAATGTTGACTCGCTTCTAAAAATGAGTAGCACATTTGCCTGTAACAGCGAAAACGCCTGAACTGCACGTCATTGTTTATGTTTGCCCAATGCCTCAATTGTACTCTACCACACTATCACTACGTTAGAAATCATAACACTGTGAAATGTTCCCTTGACAGTGGATGCTCCTGTCGCTTTCTCCAGAACTTTATATATCACTTGGGCGCTCATGTTGTTGGGGGGGGGGGACATTCAAGTGAATGAGCCACTCGCAGTACGTGGGACTAAGGTTCAGAGATTCAGAGAGGGAAAGAATTCTGAGAGGGCATGCCACTTACCGGCGGTGTTTGAATGCTCTGTTCTGAATACTACCTCCCCTCCCCCCAAAGACATGAGCTCCTTCACTTTATCACTTGTATGACATCGTACCATCTTGTCGAACTCCCGTCACTGGTAGCATCTTTACCACTTGGCTATTATGTCAAGATGACATTGAAGTGTTTTTATCGCTTCTTTGCCCGACTATCTACTCGTAGTTATCACCCCTTATCTCTTCCTATCACCTACTATCACTACCTTTTTGCCCATTCGACTCCCACATTTCAGTTGATAGCGCTAGCCCCTCTGGTCATTCCTTATGATCCTTCGTTGGACTTCACTCTTAACACTTCACCACCTCCCTCAGTGCGTATGCAACACTGCTCTTGAAACGAAAACTACCAACTATAACACCTGTTTATTCCGCCATTAGGTGTTGCTACTTGTTGCCACTCTCTATCGCTTACCATGCAACTCCTCGCAGCACCTCCTACATCACCTTTCAATGCAAGCGGTACTTCAAACGCAAAATCGTTAACGAATCTGATGATATCTATTCGCAAGTACTTCTTAAGCTCCTATTGGTAGGTATCACTTGCTACCACCATCACGCTCGGACAGAGATCCAACCCCGTACTGGTGGACTTACACGCGTATTTATTACAGCGAAATACCTCTTCAGCAAATGTGACACTAGGCATTGAGCACATTGCGCGTACCTGTTCAGCTTTCGCGTCGAAATATAATGTACCGGCCGGAATGAGTAGGTAAGCAATGATAAAGATAATGTAACTTCCTAGTATTCCCAAAAATGTTTTGCTGATTAATTCAATGTTTCCGAATCGAATTCCAAGAGTGAAACTGGTTAAGAAAATAGCTCGCCAAATGTATGATCTATAAAAGGCGGTTATAAGGACATCATCCAAATGTGCGCTCTATCTGGGCCACTTACTCGAACATATGCCCATAATCGAAGTCTCGTGGCAACGGTGAAAGATCGGTGACTTGTCGATAGATTGTGGTTAGTTTTTCGTCAAGACCTGGGTGTAGATTAACGCCGATGATTTGTGAAAACCGCCGATTGTCTGCACCAGCTGAAATCCGTGGAGTCTTCGCTTTTCCTTTCTGAACGTTGTGGTCTTCTTTGAGCAGCATCGAGAGGTTCTTCTTCGTGGTCGGCTTCCTCAGCAGTCATTGTAGGGTGAATAGGAAACGAGTTCGACTATACTACCGTTGAAGTAGAAATGGGAAACACCATGGGAATCGTTGCTTATATACTGCTTGTTCTCCATTTCTGATAACTATGGATTGGTAATGATAACAACGTGCTAATAAATGTTATTCGGTGCTATCGCAATCTACGGGGCATTATGGTAACAGTGCAAGTGAAAGCGTGAGTGAAGAGCGGGAACGGTCTCTTTCTTGCTAAAATCGGGCTATGCTTCATGCTCTAGAGAGATTCTAAAGGTGTGAGCAATTTTCATTTTCCTCGAACTTGCTGCCCCTTCCTAGGCGTTGTCCTAGAGGATGCCCCCGTATAGCAATGGCGCCGGTTATTCTCCATTTGTTCCCTTGTTTGCTCTTTGTGTTCCCTTGTGTTCCCTTGTGTGGAAGACACCTGCCG